TGGAACATTCAACAGCTCCAAAGATTTTACCCCTGAAAAAGGCCCGGTGCCTATGAAGAAGGCGAATGCCTGTGAAGTTGTCGCGTTTTGGAAAAGGCCCGGTGCCTGTGAAGAAGGCGAATGCCTGTGAAGTTGCCGCGTTTTGGAAAAGGCCCGGTGCCTGTGAAGAAGGCGAATGCTTGTGAAGTTGCCACGTTTTGGAAAAGGCCCGGTGCCTGTGAAGAAGGCGAATGCCTGTGAAGTTGCCGCGTTTTGGAAAAGGCCCGATGCCTGTGAAGAAGGCGAATGCTTGTGAAGTTGCTGCGTTTGGGAAAAGGCCCGGTGCCTATGAAGAAGGCAAACACCTGTGAAGCTTGCTTCCCGTGACACTCTCACGTAATAATGAGTGGGGCTGTACATGCCCCGGAGTCTCCGGAGTGCCGCCCTCGGGCCTCGGGGGCTCCCGCCCACGCCCAGCGGTAGCACTTAGCTCCACGCTGGTGAGAAGACGTCGAAGACTAGATTAGGTGCCGGACGCGGCTTCTTTCATTTGCTTTCCGCAGTTGGCTTGTTTGTTTCTATTTGAAGTTTTACTGAAGTTGTTAACGTTTCAAGCTCGCGACCCTTCGTCCATTTCACTTGTTTGCTTCGTTTTCTCTCGTGCAAAGTCTCACGAGGGAGGAACATGGGCACCCTCGCGAGTGTTCTCTGCCTCGGTGATTTGGAACTTCCCTATCCGAGTCCGCTGCGGGAGCACCCCTCCCAGTCCGTGCCTCACGGGCATCGCGACACAATCACGGGACTTGGGTTGGTCGTCCCCGCTACCAAGGCTGGAGACTATCCCTACTGACTAACCCCTGCAGGACACAAGGCGCACGACGAGGCCCTAGCCTCGGGAGGCGAGGACCGCAACGAGCCCCCCCAGCTAAGTAATTTCCACGCATAAACACGCGGAACGAAAACATAGCGCAGAAACAGTAGAAACAACGCGCCAATTAAACAGCAACAGTTCAACACGCCCCCGTGGGGCACCAAACTACCTTCTTTTTGCACAGGAAAGAAAGAAAAGCAAAACGGGCATGACTTGCCCGGCATCAACTCTCGGCAAGGGCTCGTACTGCCTCCGGAGCTCAGCTGGATTCTGTCTCCCACTTCACCGAGGCACGATGTCAGGCCGACCCGCTGCCCTCTCCCAGGCGAGCGCGACGGCAAGGGGGGTGGTCGCGACCACCGTTGGAGGAGCTGCCGTCCGATGGGGAGTCACCAAAGCTTGGCGGGCCTCGGGCGGCGCTGCCCGCGCGCCTCCCACCACCTTCATCCCGACCAACGCCGGGGCTAGGTACACGGCCGCGGTCATCGTCTTCGGGGCAGCATCCGGCGTGGCGGTCGTCTTCCCCGAACACCCTCGCATAGAGGGTGGCATCGCCGTCAAACTTAAAGTGTAGAGTGCACCATCGGCTCAGGCCGCGCGCGCGGGCAAACGTTTGCCAGCCGCGGGTCAAGGCCGCCTCCCCGGCGGTAGAGACCTCCAGAGTAGCCCAGGAGGCCCTGCTGTAGCAACCATCTGCCTGAAGCCAAAGGCCGCCCGGGGCACCAGCCGGAAGTTCACCTACGAAGAAGCGGGGGAGCTGGAGCCAGGTGCCGGTCGGGTCCGCCGACCACACGACAAACTCCGGTAGCACCTCCGCCGAGCGGTAGCGCGGCCTGGGGGGTCGCGCAGCCCCAGTGTACCTCTCGTCGGCAGCCGAGCGCCCACCGGCGCGCAGAGGACTGCTTCACGGCCACGGGAAGCCGCAGCGGGGGCCGTAGGGTGCTTGCGAGGGTGGCCCCGGCCACGCTTGGTCGGAGGAGAGCCAGGCCCTTCCTGGCGAGCCTTTCCTTTCTCCGCGGCCGAGAACCTCTTCGGCGGGGCCATGGGGATGACGAGCGGTCAGGAAGAAGGGGAGTAGCAGGAGGGGATGGACTGGAAGGGCTCATGTCGTTCCGTACATATAGCCGGGGAGGCCAACCGCCGGCCTCCACGATCACAGGTAATCATGACCCGTTTTGCATGCAGGGACTTGTCAAGTCGTGTAGTTACCGAGGCGTCGTGGGGGAGCAGGGACGCCCACGTCCAATCAACCGCCACACGACGCCCAAGGCCGCAGGCTGTTGGGGCCCACAACGCTTCGCACTTGCCCCTTCGCTTCTCTGCTAAGCCAAGTCCGGGCGCGCCTTGGGTCCGGGGGCTACTGTCGCCGTTTTGGGAACGGGGGTACCCAGACTTGCCTGCCTGCGACCTACAGCGTGGCTCAAGGAGTGGCCCGGTATGGCCCATCTTCATCAACACATGCTCAAGACCCTCGCGAGGGGCCAAGCCTCGCGGGACGGACGACAGGAAGCTTCCTCAGGCACAGCCTCGTCAGGCTGGCTCGCGAGGAGGCGGAGAGATCAAGGCAGGGTACCTCACAAGGTGCCCGTGACGCAAGCCATGACGACCGAAGTCAGGCGGGCGCTAGGCGGGCGCCGGCCTGTGCAGAGTCCTTGTTTCCTCTTTGATGCAAAGGGGGCAAGCGCAGGCGAGAGTATCAAGCAAAGGCAACCATTTCGGTGCAACGAGACCAAGACCAGCAGAACGGCAGGATGGGGGTCATCGTGGAGCCCAAGCCGGCGTCACCGTCAGAGTCTTTGGCAGGCGAGGACCGACTTTAGCCAGGATAAGTGTACTAGATGTTCCTCTTCAAAATGGCCAATTGTTGGCGCCCTTCCCGCTCAATATTTGGGAAGAGGACCAGGGCCTCGCTCTATAAATAGGGCTAGCCACCACAAAAGAAAGGGAGGCGGATTCAATCCTTCCCAAGAGGCATCACCACGACAAGAACTCCTCCCCTCGCGAAGCAGTTCTTTCCTTGTATTGTTCATCATCAGCCCCTGAGGCAATCCACCACGTCACAAACTAGAGTAGGGTATTACACCATAATGGTGGCCTGAACTAGTATAAACCTTGTGTCCCTTGTGTTGTTCTTCATGTAGTTTAGATCCTTGCGAGGCGACGAGACGCGAGTAGGTAGGAGGTGTGATCTCCGCGCGCACCCCAGAGTTCGAACCTTGAGGGTCTGCCGGAACCCGAAATCCGATAGAATTAACCAGAGTGAGACGAGACTACCAACTCAGACATTAGAAGTAGAGATTCTCACCCCGTGTGTGTGGCACGAAGCAAATCTGCCCACACATCCTGACGCACCAGTGGGATGACACTTTAGTTACCCCGGGGATGGCACCTTTAATTTGTCACCCGGGATGGCAAATGTAGTTGTCATGTCTAAGTAACGGTAGTTGTCGCGTGTATTCAAATCATAGTTGCCATGTGTGATAAACTACTTGCCCTATATGGTCGTGATTAACTAGTTGCCACGTGTGCTCTAACCATACTTGCCATGTATGTTTACCTAGTTGGCACGTATGCACAACTGTAGTTGTCATCTAGCAACCAATCATAGTTGCTATGTGTGTTTACCTAGTTGCCATGTACGCGCAACTGCAGTTGCCATCTAACAACGTACGAGCGTCGTGTGGGCGAAGAACACTTCGTCCACACACGCGTGGACTAGGTGGTGAATGTATGGGCAGAAAATGGTTTGTCCACGCGACGCAGCTGGCAACCGCGTGTTGCGGGTCGTGTGGGCAAACTCTCCAACGCCCACACATACGATGATGCCCACGTGGCACTGAAAATCTAACATATTCCTTTAGGATTCGTGCAAAACAGAATCAACGTGCATCAACACGTGTGAGCGAAGTGCAAACATGCCACACGTGTGTGCGTTAACATTTCCGTAATACTATGTGTTATACCACAAACAAATTTCTACTTTGCTTCTAAACTCTTCCAAATTTACACCCTTCATTAGTTTCATTTTTTAATAAAACTACCATTCATTTTTATTTTTTTACTTGGTAATTTTTGTTGTTTTATAGGCTACAGGGGTACCTCATAAATCCTATTTATCTTTGTGTTGCAGCAGTAGGTATTCATGTTATTCTGTACTAAATGTTTCAATGTGAGGTACTTAAAAAGAGACACCTCCTATACAAATTGTGCTTGATATATTTTACCCGAGTTTTATGTAGTATGTATGTTGCAGTTTTCAGGTATTTTGTAGATATAATTTGTTATTTTACATACTGAATAATCTCATAACTAACTGTGAACATTTATTTTCACAAATAATGGAAATAGATATCACGGACATTTATTTTATCTTCTTCAGCATCATCAATTGAACAAGACTGTAATCTCTTTTTCTTGCTGAAAATATTTCCGGTCTATCCCTCTTCAATCATCTCAATACAACGAACATAAAAAATAATAAAAATTACATCCGGATCTGTAAACCACGACGACTATAGGCACCGAGGCGCTCCGCTATCATCGCCCCTTCCTCGCTGGAGCGGAAGAAAACTTGTTGTAGTAGACAGTCGGAAGTCATTGTGCGGAGCAGCAACTGCCGCCGATAAAGAGTAGTGTATGCAGATTGAAAGGATCAGACCTAAAGACACATGAACGAAGACGGGATCTGAGCAGATCCATCAAAGACAACCATAGGCGAAGAATTTTATTTCTTGAAAAGATGAATAGTTACTATGAAACATATCTTTTTAACAAATGGTGAGGCCTTTTTTTCTACTAGAGTTGTGATGTCTTTGAATTTGAAAAGAAAAGAGGAAGCAATGGTCGTTTTATGATACTCCTACTATAGTAAAAATGAAAGGTGAAAAAGAAAAACTAAGGTATGCGAGAAGCGGCATATAGACAGAGGAGGGAGCAGAGTGGCATCCTCCTTCCTCTCTTCCGCCCCCGTCGCCGGGCCGCAGGCAGCTCACCGCCGCCGCCTCCTCCCCCCGCCCACCGCCTCCTCACCGTCCGTCCCAACCCCTTCGCGCCCCTTTGTATCCTCCGCTATCCGCCCGTACAGATCCGTCCGGCGAGCATCCTCAGCCGCCCCCGACGGGCTCGCCGCCGCCAGGACCTCACCGCTGCCCCCCTCACCGCGAAGAGAACCGAGGTGATCCCGCTCCCCCAAATCCCGATTCCCATTTCGTCAGTTTCCAGTTCGATTTGGAATCGGTGCGGGTCAGAGAATTCCAGTGTATGTTCCATTGATCTGTTGGGGACTGCCGGATGTAATCAGGTCCGCCCAAGCTCCAATTTTTCGCCTGGGGAACAGACCGCCCGCCGCCTTCTCTGCTCCACTGAAGATACGGTGATTCCTTCCTGCTTGGTAAGCCCCAATTTTGTTTTATTTTATTTTGCTGGGCTCATTATCATTCACTGGCTTGTGCTACATGCAGCCAGATTTTGTCTGCTGTTGTTGATGCAAACTGTTAGCCCATTCATTATTAGACTTCTCTGACAGCCTCCTGTGAACCACGCAGGACGACTGGGATCATCAGCTTGCGCCGGCTGACTACAAGCGAGCCCCCATGGCGGGGCTAGAGGAGTTAAAGAAGAAGCTGCAGCCCTTGCTGTTCGACGACTCGGACAAGGGCGGCGTCAGCACCCGGGTTCCCTTCCCGGAGGATACATGCGATTCCTATGTGGTAAATTCTTTCTTCTCTGCATGCCAGCCAAATTAGGTTGTTGGTGTCAATCACTAGACTGGGGTTGTTGTCTGTTAATAGAATTGGTACAAGCTGTTTGAGTTCTGTTTTCCAGTCATGAAAACCATCCTGCTGTCAGCAAGTGAATGTACATGCTCAAGGGTTCTGCCGCTTCAGTGTAGCGATTTTTCTGTATGGGCCTAGTCATCTGCCCAACTTGACCAATCGATCCTCACACATGAAGTGATATTTATAAAGAATATTTTTTGGTCATGAGATTACCCTTTGGAAGTTTTTTTTTTCATTTAGAATTCCCTGAGCGCTGTTTTTAATCTTTGTGACTTTAAACTTGTTAGATGCGGAAGTGTTTGTTTTTTATGTTCTTTCTTTCGTGAAGGTATCTGATGGTGGAACGATAAATTTACTGAGTAGATCGTTTGGTGAGTATAACATCAATGAGCATGGCTTTCACAAGCGAAGTACTGGGCCAGAAGAGCCCGATACCGGTGAGAAGGCATACCGATGTGCATCTGAAGACATGCATATATTTGGTCCCATTGGAAGCGGAGCAAGCAGCGTTGTTCAGAGAGCTATTTTCATACCAGTTCATCGTATTCTGGCCTTGAAGAAGATAAACATATTTGAGAAGGTACATTCTTATGGCCCGAAATGCATTTTACTACCACATTGTTGTGCACTTCTGCTTTTTTAGTTATAAGGGTGTTTTCGTTTTTTGTTGATAACTAGTCTAAACCTCATTCGTGTTTTCAAACAAAATAGTATTAAAGGGAGCAAAACAAACGCTTATTCATCTGTATGTGGTTTATTGCATGCTGGAACATCCTTCCCTTTCTTTTGGAGTCATGTGCATCACAATGGGACCATTAAATGCAGCACATTCCCCTGAAGAATTTTGGTTCCTAGCGATAATCTGTCAATTTCTCCATTGCCTATTCACAATGTTTCCTATTTAGAAGGGAACAACATCTCAATGGTAGGGTGTTGGATATGTAAAAGCGAAGCAGTGTGAGACTGTCACTATATACATTGTTTCGTTGGGATTACAAATAATATTCGGGCAGTAACTTCTCATCACACTCAGCCTAGGCAGTTGCACTTAACTTGAAGAAATGTACTGTCAGGACATGCTCGACTAATGGAAAGATCACACTAAATCCTCATCCTTAGCTACATGCATTGTTTCCTGACGCATCTGCAATAGTGATTTCAGAATGGGGCCAGGACCTGCACAAGGAAGGGTGGCAAAAAACACACTGGACAGGGGATTTCGGTTGCTAGGCATTTGTTGGCTATCCCCCCCTCCCGCACACACACATTTGTAGTTTCAAGCTGCCTATTTACTGATTTCCCATCCACAGTGCTTCTAGTTTTATATTTCCATCCACTAGAGATGGTATGCCTCATTTCATGATATTTGATTGAGCAAAGAAAGAGAACAACAAGTTCATCTCATCTCTAGTCTCCTCTGACACCAAAGCAAGCTCTCTCCACCAAACCATGCCTTGACACATTGGCCCCATAATTTGGTATTCCCTCCGTAAAGGAATTAGCATGCATCACAATATGACATGTTCATTTTCCTTTTAACACTCCCAATCTCAAGGCGGGCAAATATCCCACTACGCAATTTTCTGTATGTAAGCTGGAGTGAAACAAGTTGGAGTTGAGTATATTAAACCAAAACATGTATTTGCATTGCATTGAAGGCAGCACAAAGGGATTCTGGTTTATTTGCAGTGGCAGTCAAGTAGCAGAGTCTGTTCTGACTGCAGCATGAAAGCAGTTACACCAAAGAATATAAATGCTCACTCTTCTATGCTTCAGTTCATATACTATTGTGGCGCAATATGTTTGGTATTGCACGAAGTGATTTTGGTACTTTATGTTTGTCTATATATTTTGCTATTGCAGTTGATAATCTGATTTACAAAATTTTATTTTGATATTTTTCACGTGTCTTCATAACTTTACAGGAGAAAAGGCAACAAATTCTTAATGAGATGAGAACGTTATGTGAAGCAAGTTGCTATCCTGGTTTAGTTGAATTCCAGGGTGCATTTTACATGCCCGATTCTGGACAAATAAGCATTGCCCTTGAATACATGGATGGTGGCTCTTTAGCAGACGTTATAAGAGTCAAGAAATCAATACCAGAGCCAGTTCTTGCGCATATGCTACTGAAAGTATTACTTGTATGGATCTTCCACACATGCTCTTCCTTTCATGTCCGCTTTAATCAACATTAAGCTGTGTCCTGATGTATTTTTGAAGTTATAATTTATTCTCTGTACAATTCTGAAGGGCCTGAAGTACTTGCATGAAGTAAGACATCTAGTGCATAGAGATCTAAAGCCAGCGAATATACTGGTAAACCTCAAGGGAGAGGCAAAAATTACAGACTTTGGTGTAAGTGCTGGTTTGGACAATACAATGGCTATGGTATGCTACTTCTTGGTGACTTTTGATATTGGTTAATCTGAGCTAATTATTGTATAATAGTATAGCAATGCCATCAAATCATTTAGCATGAATGCGCTACATATTTTCTGCTAAATAAATATGTTTCAGTGTGCTACCTTTGTAGGAACCGTGACATATATGTCACCTGAGAGAATTCGTAATGAGAACTACTCTTATGCTGCTGATATTTGGAGTCTTGGACTAACGATATTGGAGTGTGCTACTGGTAAATTTCCATATAATGTCAATGAAGGCCCAGCCAATCTCATGCTGCAGGTGATTGGCTACTCAGATTTTTTGGTTCTTGTCTGTTTTCATTCATAATGTATGTTGGGATGCAATATCATCCCTTTTAGTCTGATGCAAAATGCGTGGACTATTTGGGCTGTTCACATGGTAGGTTGTATTTGGACTTGTTGAGATGGCAAAAAATGTTACATTTCTGCAAGTCTGTCCTCTGGCTATGTTAGTTTCCACAATCTTTTTCCTTTTCCTGGCTGCTTTAACTTTTGTAAGTTGTATTTGTATTTGATTATATAAATTATCTGACAATGTAATAAATATGTACCGTTACATATATTGGTCTTATGAATGTTCTCATCATCATTTGTCTGTTGGAATGTTGTTTTCTGTCACTTCATAGGTTGCCCTATCTTAATCTTAAAATCTCATACTTCAGATACTGTTTTCTTTCACTCAATTGCTGTTCTCTCTTAATCATAAACTCTCTTATTTCAGATACTCGATGATCCATCACCAGCACCACCAGAAGATGCCTATACACCAGAATTTTGTTCCTTCATAAATGATTGCTTGCGGAAAGATGCTGATGCAAGGCCTACATGCGAGCAGGTAAAGGAAACATGTATATGCTAACTTTCATGTAATCTGAGTCCAGTAGGTTAGCAATCTGCATCAATGTATTGCGGTCTATTTGAATGTTATTACATATTACTGATAATAATATTTCTTGATAAAGTATTGGTGGCAGTAACTGTCAGAGTACTGTGTAGCTGTGTGGTTAAGTACAGTTGCTTTTTTAACTGATTTGCCTTCTCTTGTAACGATGTCCCACTGGCCTTTGGTTGATGAGGAGTTGAGGACATCGGTGCCCCTATCATTGGTCCATTGGAATGAATGGCGACCTTGGTTTCTCTTCTCTTACTCGCACCATCATGTCCATACTTCCATACCCTAGCAGCCCAGAGTTGCGGGCGCTGCTACAGTCAGGCCACCACCGCCACCAATGTTCGCTGTCCACCATAGGCCTCTTATACTCGGGCCCAGAATGACTCTGCACCCTCTCCTCTGCTCCAGATGTGCCTCTGCTGTAGTACCTGCCGTGCCACTGTCCTTGCTGCTGCTGCTTCTGGTGGCCATCAATGACCTCAAGCTCAGATCTGGTCGCTTTTAGGGTAGGACCCGGATCTGGATG